TTTCATTAGTTTTTTAAAACACTATTTATTACAAATCTCGTTCGACACATTGAATCTGCCATCTTTAATTCTCTAATTATGACGGAGGAATCATATTCTCCGACCCCGACAACCCTCAGATACCAATTTCAAATAGAATCGCATCATAATTATTAATAAACTCTTTTGCCGTATCGGATCTGACATCTTGAATTTCCAAAATTTGATGAATGAATCATAATCTCCGAACCCGAAAACCCCCAGATACCAATTTTGAACAGGAATATGACAAGAGTCATCCGCGATATTGGATCCGCCATTTTGAATCTTCAAATTTCGAGAGTAGAATCATAATCTTCGACCCCAAAATCTCCCATATCAGATCCCAATTTTGAATAGAATCGGATCATAATTAAAAAAGTCTTTCGATCCGTCATCTTGAATTCTCCAATTTTGATGAAAGAATCATAATCTCCGACCCCCAGAATCCTCAGATACCAATTTTGAATGATATCGGATCTTGATCTTGATCATCTTGAATTTTCAAATTTTGAGGAAATAATCATAATCTCCGACACCAAAAACCCTCAGATACCAATTTTGAATAGAATCAGGTTATATATAATTACAAAACTCGTCCAGCATATTGGATCCGCCATCTTCAATTTCGAAATTTTTCTCATGAAATGGGTCAAACCGTTTACGATTCTATTTTAAGTGCATAAAAACATATAAACATCAATTTATGTACCTATATATAGATTATATAGGTCACACTGTCCCAAGAATTCAGTTTTCTACTTTGCCTGGTCAGTAATGAGCTGGCTAATTAGATGACGTTAACTTTCTCAACACCCTGTGTGAAAAATGTATAGACTAATGGGCAAGTAATCTCGTCGTTTTTCTCCAAAACCCCTATCATTTTGCAGCAACAATCGCCGCGTCAGCAAAGTAGACTACGACAAATGCCGCAACCGCCTGACAAAGTGCATCAAACTGAAATGCTCCAACGACTTCGACCCGGTCTGTGGGACCGATGCCAGGACCTACACCAACCAGTGCCAGCTGAGCCTGGCCACGTGCCTCAAGGGGGTGCAGTTCGCCCACGTGGGCAACTGCACGAAGCTGAAGGAGCAACAAGCGTGTCCTACCGACTGCGCCAAAAATATAGGGGAAGAGCCTGTTTGTGGCTCAGATGGGAACGTTTATAAGTGAGTATCTGTGGGTATCATATTTACAAAAGCGGCCACTATATTTTCATAATGATGAGATAAAAGTCAGAATTATCATAATTCGGAGATGAAAGTCAGAGTTATTCTATGATTCGGAGATAAAAGTCGGACTAGGTTTGCTTTGAACCTACACCAACCAGTGCCAGCTGAGCCTGGCCACCTGCCTCAAGGGGGTGCAGTGTTTGCCCACGTGGGCAACTGCACGAAGCTGAAGAGGAGCAACAAGCGTGTACTACCGACTGCGCCAAGAATATAGGCGAAGACTGGTAATAAATAATTAACATTCAATAACTCCACTGTGTCGATACGGATCTGGATTATTTTTTGCAGAACTATTTACGCGTTTTTATGTTAATAATGTGGCTATGCGTTGTTTGAAATTGTTGTATTTCAAAGCTCATTTGGCCATTATCTCGGATACGTAGGATATATGGTGAAGTCAATTGTTATGCTGTTTCATTATTGGTCAGATAATCTTCCATTCCCAATCATAAAGCAAGGTTGTACTTACTTACGAAATCGTGATTTCAGTTTTTATTTGAGGTAAATTTCTAGCCGTTTGAAAATCACTATGACAATATTGTTGATTTTAGCACCTTAAAATCGACCAAAAAAAAAGAGTGGAAATGAAAGGTATATCTAATTGAGTGATGATTCTATTTAAAAAATTAAAAATATAGTCCACTAACCCATTGCGTTCTATTTTTCCTCAAGAAAAAAGCCAGATGTGGTTCTATTATTTGTCTTTTCTGGCAATGGAAAACGGTAGTACAGCTGTATGCAGAAAAAAAGCGTACAAGTATATTACAGAGAGAAATTAACGTCATTCTTTTTGTGGGCTATCAGGAATGATTGTTTACCAAAATGTTGACAGTAAAGTTGTCATAGGTTCTCAAAAACACAAAGCATTGGCTGAGCCAGTTTCACACAACTAGAACTAGGATGCTGTAAACCTGTCTTTTTAACACTCGTACGCTTTTTTATTGAATACGACTGTACCTACATTATCATTTATGGATTGAATCTGTGGTAGAAGTCCATATGAATAAGATTCAGAAACAAGACACACTCTAAGTCATCTCCACAAATGTATTAGTAACATCAGGAACATCTGGACATGTTTCGAACTATCAATAATAGTCCATCAGCAGCAGCATTATTGAAGAAATTTGTGGAAATGAAAAAGGCAACCGCAATATAACAATTCGTTAGTTATAAAAATTATTTTTTTTGTAAAAATGTGAAAGGGCAAAGTGTGTCCACAGCCCAAAGGGGGCTTTATGGAGGATACAGCCACCTGGTCATCCAGACGAATGTCTTGTTTCTGAAATTTATGAATTTGTTTTCAGATCATCATGTCACTTGAAGATGGAAACATGTGGCCAACTAGTGATACCAGTACCGCCGCACCACTGTAGGGCTACTGCTTCTTGCAATGAGAAGTGTTCCGACGACAGAAATTTCGTTTGTGGATCGGACAACAAAATCTACAGAAGCGAATGTGAAATGAAAAGAGATAGTTGTGGGTAAGAACTCAGGGACACCTTAATACTATACAAAATTTCGAAAGTGAAACGAAATGGGAAATGGTAGAATCGTTTCGCGCATCGTTTTACTTCGCGCACTGCTTCGATCGCACATGGTGTCGTGGTAACGTAGGAAACTGAAAAAGGTGTCACTTCGCAATCTGTTCTCAATGCGCGAACCTTGTCATTTTTTGATGTTTGTAGAAATAGTATATTATTGTGTATCTAGTGCGTGAAGTATACTTTTTTACGCGAGGAAGTTTGTGGAACGAGCCGCAGGCGAGTTTCACAATCCGCACGAGTGTAAAAAAGTCTTCACGGACGTGGTGCACACTATACTTTTTCTACGACCTTTTACTTAGAGATTGAATTAAAGGAAAATTTGACTAATTTTCTTTATTACAATAATAATTATTATGAACAGTTACCTATATTGCAATTTTGTAAATTGTCAAAATGTACATTTACTTTGTCTTTCTCTACAAAATTAGTGCTACCTAGACCAGCGACCGGTGTGTGAATTTGTATTGACTCTTATGGCACCGGCGCGTGAAATAAATCCCATAAGAAAAGCATGCGGCACTTCACACACCGATTCGTGAAATGAAGCTTTACACATTTTTATCGATGTGTGAAGTTAGTAATTCACATACGGGAGTAGAAAAAAGTAATTAATTGCTGATACCTGATTTTTTTTTCAGGAGGTGCAGTCATATTGAATAAGGTCACATACAGGGTGACCCAAAATTTCTGGGACACACGTGTACTGTTTGTCCGTGAGACGAGTTCAAAATTTACAATGAAAAACACATTTTTGTACACTGTTCAAAAAGGAGTGAATCAAAGTGGATGAAATTTGAGTAATGTACATTTTAGAGTATTACGACCTTTCATTCGGTAATCAAAGCAACCCAAATGAAATTGTAGAACGGTTGAAACCACCCTCACCACCTGAATTTGTTCTCAGAACATTCTTAGGGGTGGTAAATGGTTCTCAAATTTTTGACCCTTGTACCCTTGTGAAAATTTCGTATTCCGCAAAGTTCCTAAAAAAAATATTTTCTTCCAGGTTTCTTTGATTACTGAAAGAAGGGCTATTTTCTGAAATATACTCTTGTCAAATTTTATCCAATCTGTTTCATGACTCTTTCTGAACAGCACACAAAAATGTGTTTTTTTATGTAAACTTTGAACTCGTCTCACGGACAAACGGTACATATTTTTATATAAATAAGTTAGGTCCAATCAACTTATTTTGAATTGTATTACACGCGGTAGCCTTGTGTCCCAGCAATTTTGGGACACCCTGTATATGTTTCTCATTGTTTTTCATATGAATAAATAGCAGTACTCAGGTACTCCCTATCAGTCCCAATACTCCCAATATGTCCAACAAACGAATTCAATCAGTCTGGAATAAATAATGTATTTCATAACCTTATAGTTTTGTAGTGATGATTTAATGTGATATACGTTTTCAGGAAACACATGTATGTGGTCCCGATGAAACGATGCATCTCCGGATTCATTTTCAAGGGTTGCCAGAAAATCTGCCCCACCTACTATGATCCTGTATGTGGAACAGACAACATGACTTACAGTAATATATGCTTTTTGGAAATCGAGAACTGCCGCTCCAGGTCTCTGGTAACGATGAAGCATATGGGAACATGCGCGGAACCTATAAATGAGATTCCCAAAAATTATTTGTACTGAAATTGTTGGATTGGAGTGTTTTTCAAAAACCATCGTCAGTAAATGTGGTACAGAATGAGTGTATAAAAAAATACATGTGGAAAACCAATAATTCTGAAAGCCACATTTTACTTTATTAAAAAGTTATTTGAATTCTATAAAGAATGTGAATAGGTACTAAAAATATTGAATGATGAGAACCCGTTTTCCTATTGTGCTGATTCCAGATAATTCTGATTATTTATTTCCATTACTATATTTTTGTGCCAATTTTCCTTTATTTATAGTGTATTTTCGAATTATTTATCAAATTTTTGTCTAGATGTAATTACATTAGTTATTTATTCATTACTTTTCATAAGCTGTGTATTTTTTGAAATTGAAAATCTGCATAATTTTACAGATGAGCTGTGTCTATGAATATAAGTATTATATACTAAAATTAGGTAACAGTATGATTGTAACTTAATTTCAATAAATTATTTTTCAATAATGAATTCAATGTTTAATTCTCATCAGATGGAAATATCCTGGAAAATATCAAAATAACATCTCTATCAGTTATACCTATCTATAGTTTAATTCAAAAGGAGATGGAAATAATTTACAAATGGTTCAGCACATTTTTTCTATAATTTTCTTTGTTTCCTTGGTCTTGGAGGATTCCAAGAAACTCTAGTATTATCAGTGATAGACACAATTTCCAGTCCTGCAATTTGTAACCCCTTAATAGCAGCCTGAAACAAAGTTATACATAATATAGGTATCTCTTATCAACAAAAAATTATAATGGATATTCTATACATGCAATGTTTTTAGCAACTATGCAAAACAATTTTCAAAAATATCTGGCCTGGGATTTTCTAGTAGCAGACAATGTAAATACAGGAAACTGGGTAGAAATTGCAAATATTACCATTCTTCCAGGTCCCAGACCCCTCACTGTTAATCGTACTGTTTTGTAGCCATTCTCCACAGCTTTCTGAAAGAAAAAGAATTAAATATAAATATCTATATACAACATTTTAAAAGAGATCATACTGTCCCTATTGAAACTGCAGTTGCTTGAGCAGCAATATTAGTTCCTTTCCTCGCATTTTTAAAACCTTCAACTCCACAAGACCTTATAAATTTTGGAAAACCTAGAAAATTTCAATTACAGAAAAAAATAAAAATTGCATAGGTATCCTTCCTCACCTTTGGCATCAGTCAAATTTATTATTGTATTATTTTTAGATACTCTGATGTTGAAAATTGGTAAATTCTTGAATGGGACACCATTAAACAATTTATTAGGAGTGTTGAAATCAGGGAAAGTATCAACATTCCTAAATTTAAAAATGATACCTATTAGAAAATGAATTTTTCAAACGACTCAACAACTTACTTGTGTATCATGGAATCTACATCAATGGATTTTTCACCTATGGCCCCCTCATCTACAGCTGGTACTGATTTTAACATTTCTTTTCGATTAACAACTTCTCTATATTTGAATGTGCTTGTGTAGAAAGATCTAGGACTCGCCTGTAAAGTATCGGTAAAAGAAATCTGTTTGAATATACGGCAAAGTTGTTTCATAATCATTCTATTTGCACAGGAAGAAAGACAATTCTTATGGGCCCCAAATTTTCAAAAATCGAAAGGGTACAATGGTACAATCATATAATTTTTGAAGAATTTGTAGGTTAATATTTGACATTTGACAGTTATACTGACATTACTGACACATTGACAAATGACGTGTTCCGTTGTTCCTTCTGTTCTTCTTGATCTCTGTGCTTGACCCTCGAAAATTTTTAGGGTGCTTAGAACATTGATTTCGATAATAATTTGATGAAGAGACAAGAGACAATACTGAAAAGAAGAAGAAGAAGAAGAAGAAGCAAGTACCCTAACTTTTTTACTTGGATTGGATCTGGATTTAATTTTCATTATTAATTTCACAAGAATTTACTTTACAATGTTTAGAATTTGAATGAAAATCACCAAATATTAGTGTAATTGACTTACCGAATATTCAGAAATATGACTTCGATAATAAAACTTCAAGCCCTGTCTGGAGCAATGGACGAATCACCCCCTTGTTATCTTCTCCAAGTAGATGAAGTCAGAATACTCCTAGATTGCGGCTGGGATGAAAAATTCGATATGGAATTCATTAAGGAGATTAAAAGGTGTCCAAGCAACTCTGAACATGATTATTTTGTACACAATATGTCCAGCAATAACTATCATCAATCTTGATAGAAGAATATTAATCATAAAATTTTCAGGCATGTACATACCATTGATGCAGTATTGATTTCCTACCCTGATGTATCACACTTAGGAGCATTACCATATCTTGTGGGAAAGCTGGGACTGAACTGCCCTATATATGCAACAATACCAGTTTACAAAATGGGACAAATGTTCATGTATGATCTATATCAATCACAGTACAACATGAAGGAATTCTGTATATTTTCTCTAGATGATGTTGATGCTACTTTTGATAAAATAGTTCAACTCAAATACAACCAAAGTGTTCCCCTAAAAGGTATTAACAACATACTAGCTGAACTTTTGATAATGTTGACTATCCACAGGTAAAGGCTATGGTCTCACTGTCACCCCTCTACCAGCTGGACACATGATAGGTGGTACCATATGGAAAATAATGAAGGTAGGTGAGGAAGATATTATTTATGCTAATGATTTTAACCACAAAAAAGAGAGACATTTGAATGGTTGTGAACTTGAGAAACTCCAAAGACCCTCATTACTTATCACAGATGCTTTCAATGCAACTTATCAGCAAGCTAGAAGACGAGGACGTGATGAAAAACTAATGAGTGAGTTGACAAAACCCCAATGTTTTATTGAATGGGTACTCATTGGTCTATTTATTTTTGTAGCAAACATTCTTCAGACACTTAGAAACAATGGAAATGTTCTTATAGCAGTTGACACAGCTGGCAGAGTTCTAGAGTTGGCTCATATGTTGGACCAGTTGTGGAGGAACAAGGAATCAGGCCTGCTTGCATATTCCCTAGCCCTTTTGACAAATGTCAGCTATAATGTTGTTGAATTTGCCAAATCACAAATTGAATGGATGAGTGACAAGCTCATGAGGAGTTTTGAGGGGGCTAGAAATAACCCCTTTCAGTTCAAACATTTGCAGCTATGTCATACTTTGGGAGAATTGAGTAAGGTGCCTAGTCCCAAGGTTGTCCTAGCTAGCTCTGCAGATATGGAATGTGGGTATTCCAGAGAATTATTCCTACAGTGGTGCTCTAATTCCAATAATAGCATCATTTTGACCACTAGGTAAGGACAGTAAAAATCTTGCTCAGAAAATTCCTTCTCATAGGCTTAGAAATTATATTTTCCTCCGATTGGCAGCAAATATTAATTTTGCTGACACATATCGATCAGCAAAGTATTACTTTTCCTGCCTAGGCAGCAAAGTGGGTACTTTGCTGCCTAGGCAGCAAAGTGGTTACTTTGCTGATTGATATGAATCAGCAAAATTAAAAATCCATAAATCGTTTATAATTTCCTTCCTATTCCATCCGAGACTTCTCCGGCAACAAATTCAACTCTATATTTTTTGCCACCTCCCTTATTAATGGAGGTGTAAGTATACTTCCAGGTCGCTATCACTGTCCATTATATAATAATTTAAATATACCGATATTTTTTCCCACAACTGTCAGAAATTTCATGAATTGTCAAACCAACAACTGTGATTTCTATCAAATTTTATTTTAATTGAACACTATACAGGAAGAATAAAGAGATTGTGGGAATTGTATTAATTCGCAAATACAATATTCTCCCATATCATTATGAACAATCGGAGAAAAAATTATATGTTCAACTCGGCAGCAAAGTAGATTGACTGCCTTAGCTGGATTCCTAGCCTTGCTACGCTCGGCTATGAATTCAGCCACGGCAGTCAATCTACCACTTTGCTGCCTAGTTAAACAAATAACTATTGTCAGTATTTTTTTCTTCAAAGTTCTAATTGAACCTTGTTTTCTGTTCATGAATAACATTTAGGTTATTTTGTAGGACTTCTCCTGGAACACTGGCAAGAGATTTAGTGGACAATGGAGGAGGGAGAACAGTAGATTTGACAGTTGAGAGGAGGGTAAAATTGGAAGGTGCTGAATTGGAGGAATATGAAAAAAGGCAGAGAGAACTGAAGGATGATGATGATATCAAAGAGTGAGTATTGGAACAATTCCAGGAAATTTCCAAGGAAAAATTCTATCAAATGCAATATTCATTCTGATTTAAAACTATCATGTATAAGATTTTCAAAAGGAAGCACCAAAAGGCATAATAAAAAAAATGGCTCTGAAATGCTAGATTGTATGTCAGAAAAGCAGAATTTGATAATTTTAGTTGATTTCTCAGAGACAAGTCAGGATTCTGATATTATTTCTAATTTCACACACAGTATCTTGTATGCTCTAATTGATGATTCAGAAAATTTCCAGGCAAAATTCAATTCATTATCTTCCAAAACATTTTTCCCCAAGAATTTATTCATTTCTTTGCTTTTGATTTTTTCTCATCTATTCTCCAACATCCTTAATAGTTTTGATTTCAGAAATACCCTGTATTGGTAATGATGTTAATACAGGGTGTATCTAAATTACACTGAAAAAAATTAAGGGGTGATTCTGTGTTGAAAATCAAGGTGGGTATTTGGTGTAACATTCTTTGAAAAACTTTTTCCGGAAAAGGTGTCACTTTAACCTCTGAAAATAGAAAAAGAAGGGTTTTTCTTCTTTATTTTTCCTGTATATTTAGCAAAATACACTAAACTTGATTAACAATATTTGTCAATAACCTACACATTTTGAAATGTATTCAACCCTGCTAGTTTGGAATAGTCAACCCCTAGGATAATTTTCTTCAAAGAAAATATGGCAGAAAAGCCCAATTCATTTACTTCCTTTCTTATCTATAGAAATAGAAAATCTTATCTTCAGAAGGGTGTAACTTTTCTGGGGAGAGGTTTTACAAAAAATCTTGTACCCCCTTGGATTTTTTGGTGTCATATAGATACCCTGTATAATACAATTTATGGGTATTTACTATTATGTAATATCCATAATATTTGTTTCTTAGGGATGATGAATCTGATTCTGATGATGACATTGAGATGTCAGTGATTTCTAAAGGCAGACATGATATTGTGATTAAGCAGGAGGGAAAGATTTCTGGGGGATTCTTCAAAGTGACCAAAAAGATGTACCCAATGTATCCATTCCATGAAGATAAAATCAAATGTGATGAATATGGAGAGATTGTGAAGCCAGAAGATTATAAATTGGCAGAAGTTGTTGGTGAAGGGGAAGATAACAAGGAAAATTTGTTAATCAAGAAAGAAGAAGAGGAAATCAGTAAGCATAATAATTCATCATTTCAAATTGGATGGGAAATAAATCATCCTCTTCAAGTGGATATGATATTTGATAATAATTATGTTTCAATTTTACAAGTGTTTTTTTTAAATGATTTTAACATCCTAGTGGCTGCTGAAATATTACTTTGATTTGCTGTTTTTCACTAATATGGCATCTAAATATAACTCACATATATTTCCAATCTTACAACAATACTGGAAGCTGCATCATATGGGCAAAATTACACTCTTACTAGGAAATAGTAAAAATAATTGACATCGTTTCTTAAATGCTTGAATTTACCCTTGAATTTACCTCTGGCAGATATTATTTCCTTCACTAGGTTGTTCTAGGTTTAGTCGGTCTAACTTTGGAATGAAGTTTAAAATCCATCATTTTCACATGTCTCCAATAAAATGAACATTTGCAGATGTCAGGAGAAAAACAACTATTTTCCTGGCAATGAAAAAAACCATTGTATTTTATTTATTTATTTATTTCTTCAACAAAAGTATTGGAGTTTCGACATAAAAGTCCGAATTTCTATGATTTGAAAAAACTCAAAACTCGTGGCTGTACTAAAAATGAATGGCATCAATCTGCAACAATTGTTTTTCATCTAAAATCTCGGCAATGCCCACCAAGCGGGTGGTGCTGCAATGATTCCTCAGAGTTATCCCCACCATTCACGATGTCATTAATTTTTTTTTAGAGAAATCAACTCGTCTGTAACTAATGACCATTGACATGTTAACTGTGAAACAATTGATTACATGATAAAAATCAAAAATCGAACAGTCAACAGTCTTCCAGGAACTGAATTACAATTTCAAACTGATTAGTTAGACCAAGGATATTTTTGACAATTCCACTGAGCATATGTTTGCATCGAGTTGGGCTGTAGTGTGTACAATCTAAAAGAATGTGCTTGATTGTAAGTTTTACCCCATCACAAAATTCACAAATCCCCCAAGGATTCTGTGAAGACATCAGGTAACCATGGATGAGCTTGGAGTGACCTATTCTGAGTCTTCTTATATAGTCTCTTCTTGTCATTGATGGCATCTTCTGCACAGAAACTGTATGTTTGCCATGTTGGTATCATCATTTGTAGAGCTGCTGATTTAAATTCTTGGTGCAATTGAATTCGCTCTAATGCCAAGTAGACGGAACAAGTTCGTTCCGCTGCTTGGTCGGCACGTTCGTTGCCCATAATTCCTATATGGGAAGGGATTCATATGATATGTATTGCGATAGTGGTGGCAGGTGTCAAGGATATCTCGAACATAGCTC